CGGAGGGGGCGGGGAGGGAGGGGGCGCTGTTGTGCCGCTGTGCCGGTGTCACTTAGGCCCGGGGCAGGGCCGCCGGCAGACCGCATGCGAACATTTTTGATATTTTGGCGGGTGCGCGTCGCATGCTGTGCTGTTGGCTGGGGCCGACTGGCAGCAAGCGGGGCGTTGTTGTTGGCGTTGCGAAAGAAAAGGAATGGATGGATTCCTGAGATTCCAAAGCGGCCGGTCGGGCCGTGGCTGGCGGCGCGGCGAGGCGGCTGCGAGTAGTACCAGTGGGTACCTGCAGGGTACCTGTAGCGTGTGCGAGAGGCGGACGGGCAACTCGTCCACGCCATCCGGTTATTTACATGCCCGTTGTCATTGCTTCTTCAAATTCTAAAAGGGCGTCCCAGTGATTACAATAAGTCCGAACGGGGTCGAAATGAGGTCTTTGCAGGTCACTTTGACGTCTAAGTTCCTACCTGGGAGGACTAGATTTTGACTGTAAAGGCCACAATGACGCTTTGACGTCACTTTAACGTAATTTTGACTTGGGCGTTCTCTTTGGGGTGGTCCGCGTGGTACCTGGCGCGCCATGTGCCCTCAGCCCCGCCCTCTCCTTCATGACCCTTGTCCTTGTTTTCACCCTACCCCCGCGGCCCCCGCGCCTCTCCCGACGCGTGTTACTCTTCCCCATTGTCCTTTCTCCCCAGTCGGCCCCCCGACCCGACAGGACAGCTGCCACCCGTTGACCGCCCGCCCCACCCCGCCCCGCCACCTTGTTGGTTCCGATTGCATCGGGATGCATTTACGTCACCAAACTGTTGGCCCCGTAGCCCCCTCTCCTCCTCCCGGCCGAGAGAAAGGCTCCTATATGATGTGAGGGATCGGTCCGGCCCGGCCCGTCACTACTCTGTTCCGCGTGTCGGAACAGAACAGCTGTTTATTTATGATCGACTGGGGCCGGTGGGGCGCTGGCAGCCTAGAGGCGCGACTAGCCCAGAGGCTCGCGCTCTAGCTGCTGCTGCCGGACTGGGGCTGGACGTTTTGGCTCGAACACTCTGAACTGCAACTCTTGAGGAAGCGCCTCTGGCACGCGTCTCTTTTGGTGACCGCGCGCGGGCGTCGTGTGATCGCGTCGACCTGTCGTCGGCGCAACATTGTCTAGCCACCGCCCCGCTCTACGTGGGTCGCCTACTGGGAAAAGCACTGCAGGGTGATCGCGACAGAAACTGACGGCTCCCCTGACGGCAGTTTAACACTCGTGACGTCCTCACCCCACAGCAGCCCCTCCATCTGACGTGCCTCCCTCTGCCAGCTGCACGCGGTCGCGAGCTTTGGATGCCGGTTTAGTGGGAAATGATAACCTTGAGGGCACTGCCGTCAGAGGGACGGAAATATGGAGGACGCTCGCGGCCGCAGGAGGGGGGGGGGGGTGCGCGCTACACCGCGTTGGAAGAGTTTGGGCGCGCGTCACGCTGTCGTCAGGCTGCTCCGCTCCGCACGCTGACCCCCGAGTGGAAGGTGGCCGCGGGGGCGGCTGTGGCTGTGGCGGCGAGATGCGTTCGCCTTTGCGCGCTGCGCCGAGCGCGAAAAACGAGGCACGCGCGGCGCGAAGCGTATCGGATCGACGGAGGTCAGGGCGCGCGCGCGCGGGGCGCAGCAGCGTTCGCAGGGCATCCCTCCCCGCGCCCCGCAGCCGTGCCCCCCCCCCGCGGCCCCCGGCGGCCCCTTCCCTTTTCTCCACCCCGCCTCTCCCGCCGGCCGTCTGAAATGTGGCAACGGCGGACGGGGCGGGGCGGACCTGCTCCATACGCCGTGTGCTGCACCGTGCGCCGCAGCTGTATGCGTAACTCGGGAGCAGGGGCCAGCGCGGGTACCTGGGCCCATGGCCTGGGCCCGTTGGGCATGGGGTCGCAGTGGCGGTACCCATCTGCAGCACAGCCTCGTGTACTGCAGGAGCCGGGCAGACACGGGTTACCTGGGTCTGCGGCCTGGGGCCTTTTAGTGCAGCCTCCTCCTGTGCGGCGCGCAAGGACGGGCGTAACCGAGGCAGGACCGGCAGGACCCAGAATTTGGGGTTTCAGAAAATGCAATCGTAGTGGGTGGGTAACCTCGTCGAGTTAAGCCAAAACGTTGCCCCTTTTCGACGTATCTCCTATTTACCGTCGATTGGTCTTCCCCGACCGGGACTCGGGCTCGGCTCGGACTCGGGCCGGCACCACTCAAACGAGCCTCGAGGAGTTGTCATGCATATTATGAGAGCTGAGGGGACGGGTCGGGACGGGCGCTCCCTCCCGCAGGTGTGTACGCGGCTCTGCTGCAGCGGGCTCGGCAGCTGCAGCGTCGCGCGATGCGGCCATGTGAATGCGGCACACGCCGCTGCGGCCGCCGCTGGCCAATCTTGTCTCTTCCTCGGTCTGAAAACGGCGGGCTCAAGGCTCTGCGGTGCCGCAGCGGCCGGCACACCACCGCACCACGGCGGACACCTCACCTCTCACCTCCTCCCCGCCCCGGCGCGGTGTCAGTGGCCACGCGGGGAAGGCCCTGGCACGGGGCGCCTCGGCGGGGAGTGCATTTCCAGGCACATTAACATTTTTGTCAAATGGAAGTCGGCGGCCGCCGCCGGGCGCCGCGGTGGCGTGGGACCCGTTCCCTGGAAGCCGCGCCACGCCACGCCACGCCACGCTGACGGATGAATGTGTCTACTTCATGGGGTGCTTTGGCTGTCCGTGCGTGTGTCCGTGTGTGTGTGTGCTCTTCAGATAAGCCCCCGCTGCACGATGCAGCGCGCACGAACGCACGGCGCCCTCCCCGTCCCTTTTGTGCACCCACGTGGCTCGCACACTTCTGTAAACCCTTTTCGTCAGCAGCGCACATCTTACCTCGGCGCGTGAGTTTTTACGGCGATTTAGTATTATTTTTCTCGGGCCGTTCGGAGTGCACGTCTAGTCTTACGCCTTTGTCGATGCTCTTTGTGGTGCCCGCGACCCCGGACACGGTCCGATCCGGTGGAGCTAAAGGAGGGGTGGGGGTGGGGGGCTCAGCCTTTTCGTTTTGCGCCTTCGCCTTGAGCCTCCGGCCAGCGTCATGAATGACGCCAATGTGGAGAACGGAGAACGCACCGGCGTCACATACCGAGCCGCCTGCAGCCGCCCGAGCGGGGAGTTTCTTATGAGTGAGCGAATTCCTTGGGCGGGAGCCGCGGGGAGCTTGCCGCCGTGCCGCCGCCGCCGCCGCTTTGGCTGACTGCCTCGTCTGGGATAGAATGGAATTGGATGGGGATGGGGATAGGCATAAAGTAAGGATGGGTTGACGTGGAATGGGATAGAATTCCGTCCTGCGATCCGCCCACCGGCCGGCCGGCCGGCCGGCCTGGCCGCAGGGACGGGGCCGTACTACTTGTGCATTTGCCGTGCCCCTTTGGCATCGTGTGCCACAGCAACGACTCGCCAGGTTTGGTCCACTGTGGGGATTTGTTCGTCCGCCGTACGCTTTCTTTTTAACACACGGCGGTTCTGTTTTTTTTTCGGCGGCTTTTCATTCATTTATTTGTATATCATCTATTTTAAACTTGTTTTGATCAATTTTCCCCCGTATTTTTTTTTTTTTCCGTTTTCTACCGTGCGGCGCGTGTGTGGACGGTACCGTTACCCTCGATAACATTCCCGCGTGTTATCGTGGTTATCGCAGCGCGCGGTCCATGACGCATTCCGCTCGGGTCTTCCACGAGCGTGCCGCGAGCGTGTCGAGCAGTGAGCGTGCCGCGAGCGAGCGTCTGTGTGGGGTGCTTTATTGTTGTGGGCGGCGCGCTCTCAACTCTCTGCAGTCACGTCACACGTCAAAACGGTCTGCCAACCAAAAGTTCCGCGAAAAAAGCACCCCATTTCCTTTCGAGGCGGACATAATTTTGTGTTGTACGGCCCGGCCTACCTTGCATTATAATGTTACGTTGTGCATACGTAGTATAAATACCTTTCCTGAGTACACTCCATGTAATTTTTCTCGGTCGGTCTCGCGGCGTGGCGCGGCGTGGCGCACATCGCGCTAGAGACTGGGGCTGGCCGCCTGGCTGGCTTTTGATCGGAAAAGGTTATCTCGCCCTGAGTGCATATACATACTATACCATATACTATATGCTGCCTGCCGATCTGCGGGAGTCCGACACTCGCATACACTCACACACTCTCACACGCGCGCGCAAAATAAAA